GTGCTTGTGTTTGAAGATGCCCCAAATGGTGTGCAATCTGGTTACGCAGCAGGTATGCAGGTCGTGTGGATACCTGACCCACAAGCTGATCGGTCTCTGTTGAAGGATGAAGCCACTCTCATTCTTGATTCTATGGAAGATTTTAAACCAGAACTTTTTGGTTTACCCCCTTACGAAAACTGAAGCCTTCCCATTCAGGAGAGAAGTTATGAAGAAAATTGAATATTTTATTCATCCAAACATGATTGTTTCATATTATGCAAAATTCCCAGATGATTTCCCAACTTATTCAGACTAATATCCTTATCTTTATCATTTTTATCACTTATGATTTTCTCCATTATTCTTTTTTTTTATTTCTCTTGCGAAATATTTTCCGTCTTGACATTAAAGATTTATAAAGGCACCACAAAAAGTTGATTTGATTTTCTAAAAGTAGAAAAATTGCAAAATTTTAATTTCAAGATTTTTACTAATATTTTTATAAAAATTACTTAATACTTTATGAAAAAGGATCTTGTAATCTGTTACCAACACATTATAGGACATTATTTTCAATCATGTCAAGTTACAATAAATTCTCAGGTTCAGGTTTTTAGCCGCCATGCATTTTCTCAATTCTGTTGGGAAAAGGTGAATTTCCTCTGAGCCAATATTTTCTAACATGGCTCAAAGTCAAAAAGAGTAGAATTTTGTGTTACATTTACAAACCTACCTGGAAAATCAGCATTTGACATTTTGGCTTTTATCTCAGCTTGAACACAGTGGCACATGTGACAAATGCATAAATATTTTAATCTGAGACAAACTTCACTTCATGTTACGTTTTTCAGAGATCAGAAAAATATAATGTTCATTAAAACGTGAAAACATGTACAAATGTTTTGTACATACTTATTAATTTTATGAAAATGTATATTTTTAATTCTTTGGATCTTCAGCATGTAGCCAATCATGACTTTCCACAAATTCCTTTTCTTTATGAATGAACAGGACTTGTTGGGAAAGAGTGGAGTGGTTTCCTGTTGCATTCACTTTTGAATTAAACATACTCCTTCTAGACTAGTTGCCACCCAAGGCTAAAGATCTACATTGCTATTTAACTCATAATTATGTAAGGTTTGAATAGACCTATTCTTGCCTTTCACAGTGACATTAGTACAAAAGTAAGACAACAAAGTCAGGAATTGAGCTCATCTCATCAATTCTACTCTCTGTACCAATAGCTATTGCACTACCAAAACGCATTAGTTAATAACACAACCGAAAGATGGTCAGGAATATATTAGTCAAAAAAAAAATATAAGAATATTAGTCTGAATAAATTACAGAAAATATTTTCAGTTAAAAATTGTCAATGTTATAAGAAATTAAAATCTTTTAATTCTATTTTCTTGTTTCATTTTTGTGTCATTTATTTTGAAATTTTTTTATTTTTTTTAGCATTGTTCAACAAAATTAAAATTTTTAAAAAGCATGAATTTCTTAAGATGACCTTGTAGGTTTTTATTTCTGAGCTAATTACAACATCCCCTACCTTATGTCATAAATTAACAAATACAGTTTGTATGTTTAAGGTTATCAAAGATTTTATAGAAAATAAAGTTGTACAAAAAATAAGAGTTAAGTAATTTACTAAGGGCTGACTGAAATATTGTCCATTGAATTTCACAATTGTTAACATGTCCTGTTCTTGATGTTATTGGTCTAGGGGGCACAATCCCAGCATGCGGCACTGTTGAAAAGTATTTAAAACCATACCACGTCTTCATCCAAGCTTTTGTGAGTGAATTTGGGTAGATGGAACTATTCAGAAATGATGGCTATGCTAGCATGGACTCACCAGTCATTGTGGCTGAGGGTTAAGTATACTGTCCTTGTTTAAACTGTTGATCATGCCAGATTATGCACTCTCTCCCAGAAACTATAACTAAAGCCTTATCAGCATAATTGAAATATTGTTGAACACAAATGTGCCTGAGCGGGTGTCTGCAACAGGGATTGGCTAGTTACCTTAGCAGATGGATGTACTCAGAAACAAGTTGCCAGCCATTTTATATATATATATATATATATATATATATATATAAAATATATAATCGCCGTTGCTCTTCATTAATGAATTGAGCCCTCTGGCTGCTGGCATTTGTATATATCCGTATATAATATGTTAAAATTTTCCTTTTCTCTGCCATTCGCTAGCTTAGGGGTAGGATCTCTGACTGATTCCAGATTTTGATCCTGGCTTGATGCAATCGGATATCTAGCCACACTGATGAGTTGTGATACAGCAAAACAAACTTGTATGTGGATGTGTCTCTCTTTCACATATAAACATTCGGACTAATGTCCTCATCTTTATTATTATTACAATGTTTTGACCATTGTGCACTCCAGCAGCCTTCCTGTATTTATTGGTCCAGATAACCTTCAAGCTTTTAAAATGAACCCATTTAATGTTATTGTTCTGCTCATGTCTTGTGATATCTCGTTTTGTTATTGCTTGCTCTGTTTCCACTGAGTCTACATTACCTGGACCAGGGATTGAAATGAAAATTACTATGTCAGTAAATTCACAAATCATTGCTACAATCCACTAGGTTATTGTCATGTGGGACAGTCCCAAAGCTAGAAATTGAAACTTTAAACATAATGTTCCTCTTTCTTTCCTGTTACTGACGTTGTCATGCTTTACCGCATTCACCACCACTTATCTGTCCTTGCTGCTGCTGTTGAAGCTTTACTGTCATTTCTCTTTATTCATTGCTCCTTGATATGTTGATTATAAAATCATATTCACTGTAATAATGTAGTGATTAAACAACAATTGGATTTAAGAAAAAAATTAAAATTGACAAATTTCCTACTAAAATGTAATCAATGACATTTTGATTTTATGAAATTTCAAAAAATTAAGTGGGGTAAAAAAAATTGCCTAGATTTATTTAAAAAAAATTTCTAAAATAATTTAATTCTTTTGTGAAATGCTGAAATTTTCATTAAAATCCGACAATTATTTAATTTTTGAAAAATTTCCATAATAATGGTTTTAACACCAAAAAAGACGCTAAAATTACCTACACTAATACTCTTTAGGCCACCTGCTGGCACAGAAAAAAACAAGATTTTTAACCAAAGGATTATAAAGTTTAATTTAAAAAAATAATTTGGCCTTTTCTCGTAATAATAACACAAGCATTTTAACGATAAAACTTTGTTTTTATCAAATTTTTTTTTCATCGTGCTATCCTCTTCTCTCTCTCTCTCTCTCTCTTTTTAGAAAATTTTAAACATAAAATGGGGCGTTTATTTCAAATACGAGTACCCACTAAATAATATTATTTAGAAATTGCTTTGTTTACATTTAGGATAAGCAACTGATGAGATAGGGTCTTTTCAAGAAAAAAATATTTGAATGAAGAAGTGTGCTTTCCTTTAAAGGGAAAATAGAACCTTTCCGAGCAGTGATGCTCCCTGTAGCTAAGTGGTAAATCACACCGGATCCAACGGTAGTTTCTTCGACTAAGGCTGATAGACTTGCACACTGTTTAAAATGAAAATGGTGCATTTATTTGAAATACGAGTATCCACTAAAATAATAATATTTGAAGTTATATGACTCACTATTTCAAATTCTGTGTTTCCTATTACAATTATTTAATTTACGATATTGTTGTGGGGGAGTAAATAATTGAACATTTGTAGACCTAAACAGTATGGACAAAGAAATCACTACTGCATAGCGACTGTCGGTTTCATGCCTTAAGCTATCAGAGCATTGCATAATTATATCATTCGCCCTCTCTTTATAGTCTCTTAATTCTCTCTCCGTTTACTTGCTTTTTATGAATTAGCGTTTCTAATGGACAACTACCGAGAATCCGATCTTTTCAACATCCGACTGCCTATTAACAAATCAAAAAAGAAAAGACCTATAATGACCACTTGACTCCTCTGACCAAGTGGCCGGTAAAATCTACTTGGGAAATCTGAGTGTAGTCATGTGCCAGGTAGTCTGTGGTCAAAAGAAACAGAAACCTTAGGTCAAGAAATCTCTGGTTGCTTACACTTGACCTTATGGCTTTCATTGTAGGTTCAAGTGTATTACTTTGGCAACCAGACTTGGCTCAGATGATTTTGACGTTGATTTGAAAATTGCAATGTCGTCCGTTTGTGCCGAAATCTAGACAAATACATTTTTCTTCATTCATGACTCTGGAGTCCATCGAATAATTAACAGCTTTAACGTTCCTATTTTTCCCTCCACCTATCATAAAACTTCAGAATGTGGAATTAAACTCTAAACCTTTTAAATACATCTGTATATGGATTTTGTTTAATCTCCTGACCCACAGGGTCGTAGGAGCACCATGTGTACTACAGCCGCAGTAGAAGTGGTGTTTCATAGGCAACGATAGTTTGACGGAGGCCCGACCCTCTCCAGGCCGGTTTTGAATTCAGAGTTTTTCCTTCTCCTAGACCGGTTGACACTCAAGCAGTCTGTCCTGCTATTTATTTATAGCTGGGAGGAGGAAAAGGGATTCATAGCTTTCCCAAGGGTATTAGCACGTAAATGAATGTAATGGATTTGACTGGAATTCAAACTCGGCTCTCTGATTCCTCAATCTGAGCCGCTATCCATTACTCCACAGTGCTTCACTCACTCTAGATAACAGGTTTTACTATTTAACTCATAAATTGGAGAGTAGAAGAGGTGGATTCATATCTTTTCGAAAGGGTATTAGCACGTAAATGAATGTAATAGATCCGAATGGAATTCGAACTCGGCTCTCTGATTCCTCAATCCGACATTACTCCACCGTGCCTCCATGTATAGATTAGTTATAACAAATTTAGTATCGGATCAAAGGAAATGGAACATAGAATGTGCTACGCTAGAGGTGATAGTATCACCCAACACTGCTAACCTGTTACAAAACCTTAAACTCCTGTTATGAATTAACCATAGTCCTAATCTTAAATAGCCTCATCAGATATAGAATGGATGGCGTGCAACTCGTTTAGAAATGACTAAACTAGGTCCCTCCAAAAAATTATTGGGGTTACCTCGTCTAAACCGTCAGCTATATACAACCGCTTTCTCAGAACAAAGATTAAAACTCGCTTCAAGTAAATGAATCTTCTAGAAGACAGCCCTTCATCAGAACTTACAGACTATTGTTATTATGTAAATAACAAACAAAAACTTTTGAAGACTTTCAACAGCGGCAACAATTAAAATGAATAGCGCATGTAATCAGAAGTGAAAATAATGCTATAGTGAAGTTCACTATTTACAATATTCGGACTATTGTTCTCATGTTTTGTTGTTATATTTATCACAACGTTTCGGCCGTTGTACGCTCCTTCTTCAGGTGGTTGGAATGTCGAACTGAACCCTTTATTTCGCTCGCTGGGGTAGACTGTTGTAGTTCCACGTGCCATGCCTAATGGATGTCAGTTATCTGCTGTTAATTCCCCTCTCCAAGTTCTCCACTGCCTTAACCAGGTATTGAACTCACACTCTTTGGGTCCTTTCACTGGATCTAACTAACGCTTTTATCCACTGTGCTTAGAGAGGTGAATTAACAGGAGATAACTGATGATACCCCCCCGCCCCAATCAATACTCGAAAGATCGAGAACTGGACTTAAGAAGCCTATTTTTCCCCGAAGCAAACTCTTAAGAGAAATGATTTTCTAAACTGCAACCGATGCCAACGTTAACTCTTCGGTCCAATAAATGTCGAATGTTTCTTGTATGGAAACGGCTAATCTCACCAGCGTTTGGTACGAAAGAAAATGTAGAAATGAAGTTGAAGAGACAAAACAATTATTATATTTGAATAAAAGTAAACAGCAAAAGAAAGAAAGGGGAAAAGAAAATAAATAAACAAGACGAGGAAGACAATGCAACATATGTTTCTACATTGAAAAATACATCCACTGGATATGTTAGGCTCTAACGCCGTTGTAGTAAGAAAAAATGTTAGTGGTCAAAATGCCTTCAACTGAGTCATTTCCGGATACCCATAAATCCGGAAGAATAGTCGAATATAGGGTGCGCAGGAAATAACCGCAACAACAAGAGTTCAGTTGAATAAACTTTTGATGGGGAGAAGAGCAGAAATATTCAAGGTTTTATTGGTTATGATGGAAAATAGTCTCATACTAACGGAGCACTCTTACTATTATAAAACGTGAATATCTTTCTGATTGTTACAGATTGCAAGAGTTCAATTACGTGTGAAGTATATCTAACATGCTTGCAACAGAATAAAAACCATGTGTGCGTTGATGATGTAAAGTCAAGGTTTAATGCAGCTATTTTAAACTATTAAATATGTAGTTGAACAAGCGTAATGGCGTCTTTTTATTCATTTCCGTGTATGACGTCAATCCACTTTAAGCAAGGATTGAAGGTGGTGTATAAATTATGGTGTAGAGGGTTGCACACGATCTCACCATCAATTCTCCGTTTTCAGTCTACTTTGCTTCATCAAAAGTGTTAAGAATAACAGGACAAATTGTTAGGGAGTAAATTCTCTTTTTGATTCTGTTTTCTTCGATAATTCCCGTTAACGGAATTAATATCTCTTTGTTTTGAAGCTTGAAAGTATCGGCCAGACGGCTGACCACAGGACTGAATGAATACATATATATATATATATATAATGGACTCTCCCGTCGGTTTCGACGTATGAGGATCTGACAACTTAATTGATTCAGCTATGAAATTTTGTGCGATAATCTTAAGTGGCACTTAAGACCCGCTACTGATTTACAAAGAAGGCCGCATATGGAACAAGAGTGAGAATTGTGGGATGAGATCGCCGTTAGATTGGTTGACCTTTTAGATAGTTCTCTCGCTTCTTGAAGTCGATTCAAGCAAGCAAATTGAAAACTGCCGAGTCCACTAAAACACATTGATCTCCATTCTAATATATATATATATATATATATATATATACACATTAGATATGTAGTTTGTAAAGAAAAGACATTTTTCGTATGATCATTTAGGAAGAAAGGCAATACTATATATATATATATATATATATATATATATATATATATAATTATTATTTTTATTATAATCTCTTATAATAAAAACATGTTGAAATCGCTGCACAAAAGCTTTCATGTTTCAATACTATGATTGTACTTCTTCAGGCGATGGTAAATAACTAGTGATGAAATGATTTTTAATAAAATTTAAAACAATGTGTCACCCCTTTTTCAAAAGTTAAAGCGTGGGAGAACATAGGGTCAGAATTAAAAATAGACTTGTATGTAGGTCTTGATTAACTGCTTAAACATAAGACCTGCGTTGAATAGAAAAATGAGCTCAGAGAGTGGCGGATGGTGAGTTATTTTTTTCATGCCATGATAAACCGGGACATAGACAGGCCATCATTGACAATTGCGGAAAATTTCAATCTACTTTGCTTCATCAAAAGTGTTAAGAATAACAGGACAAATTGTTTCGGAAATTTTATTTTCTGAAAAAAATAAAACCTGCTGCAACAGTATTTTCACTATTGCCCGAATTAATAATGAAAAAGAAAGAAAAAAATGCAGATCAGATTCAATTACAAAGAAAAAATATTTATTTCTCACCAGTTAAATAAGGGTTCTTGCAAAAATTCGTCCCTTTTTGCTGAGAATAAGATAACCTATTCTCCGAGTAACACAATGTACAAAAAGCATAGCAGAAAACAAACTTAAAAATTACAATGCCCCCCCCAAAAAAAGAATAGCGCCCCCCTGCTGTGTCAATGATAACAATAAAAAAGCTCTTAGCTCTTCAGTACACTTTCAGTCTTTTCAAGGTTCAAAAGTTTTTGTCTTTTTTCTTTTCTTCTTGTGTAGACAAAGTTCTCTTCCTGGTGACCAAAGTCCCTTCTTTCTTCACTTATTTTCCTCCCGTCCGCCTGGATATTACGCCTTTCTTTTACGGCCGCTAGAAGGTGGAAATTTACTTAAACACGCGGTAAAATACTTTTTGAAAGCGTACGTGTTCGCTCTTTCGTCTTCTTCTCAAATGGCTTTAGCTCCAAACTCCACTTATGGACTTCTTTTCAAACATTCTTTACTGGAGCTTCTTCGAGAGGACTTCTCAAAACTTTCTCTGAAGGGGAAACTTGCGCTCAGCAACTTGTTACCCAAGCATCCTTCACTTATGGGCAAACTCTGCCTGCCTTTTCAGCAGGCAGAGAGAAAAACCCCTGTTTCGCAGCGGTCTCGTTTTCAACTGCTGCTAAGGTCCAGTCCCAGTTCTCCCTTCCCCTTCAAAAGTGGGGGGAGGTCACCTTTGAATCGTCCAATCACAGTCCATTAAAAAAAAAAATCAGCAGGTTCTTAGGGCCAGTAACACAGAGTGTCTTTTGTTCTCCCTTCACCATAAAAATTTTCAAAATTGTTAGGGAGTAAATTCTCTTTTTGATTCTGTTTTCTTGGATAATTCGCCTTACCGGAACTAATATCTCTTTTTTTTTCCCTTTTTTTTTATTTTGTGAAATTATCGGCCAGAGGGCTGACACAGGACTGAGGTATTATATTGGATGTAGTAAGAAAGGTAGGAGAGAATGTTTTGTTTTGGTGTTAGGACTATTGCTGGTAAGTTTGGATACTTTCCTTTCAAAATTGGTTTATATCGATCAATTTTAAATATTAGAGACGGTGCCTTGAGTATATTTAAACATTTACTTATATTTAATATATTTAAACATTTACTTATTTAATTAAGTCATTAAACGCAATTGCTTTATCAGAGGTTATGTATGAGTAAATGCTTTTACTGATTTCGATAAACTTCTTTAAAATTCTATCAAATATTTAATTCTGAAATTATTTTATTTTAGCAATCTTCTTATGCCTCTTGATTCCTTGGGGAACATAGGGCCGCAACAAAACCTCTCCAATAGACACGGTTCCGGGCGATTCTCTTCAGCTTGGTCCATGTCATGTCGGCTGCCTTCACCTCTGCGTCAACACTTCTGCGCCAAGTCTGTTTTGGTCGACCCACTTTTCGCTTCCCTTGTGTGTTCCAGTCAAGGGCCTGTCTGGTGACACTAGAATCAGGTTTGCGAAGTGTGTGGCTGATCCATCCCCATCCCCGCTACTTGATGTCAATCTCGATTGGGGCTTGTCTGGTCCTGTCCCGCAGTTGGTCGTTCCGGCCACCTGATATCGAGGATGTTCCTCAGACATCGGTTGGTAAATGTCTGAAGTTTGTGGGTGTTGGTCTTGATTACCCGCCAGATTTCTGAGCCTTAAAGTAGGGCCGACTTGACGTTGGTGTTGAAGATCCGGGTCTTTTTTGTAAAGTGAGGAGGGCTGTTGATCTCCAGATTGGCCACAGTGTGTTGAAAGCATGTCAGGCTTTGTTGATTCGGCACTTGATGTCTTCATCTGCTCCACACCTCCCATCTTTAATGACGACACTTCCTAGGTAGACAAACTTATCGACTTTCTTGATGTCTTCTTGATGTAGTCGCACCGAGTCTTGTTGTCTGTTGTGTATCCTGTGTTTTAGTAATGCAGAAGCGAAAAGGTTAATATTTACTTTACTGGGTGGAGCACCAGACGAAATGGAGAGAACTTGAAAAGGAGAAAAAATCTAAGAGTGACATTCCTACTCGGCTTGAAAGCCTAGATTCGAAATTTTAGCATTTAACCTGGGCTCGAACCCCACTGAGACAGCTTGTAAAAATACAACTATTCAGCAGCCAAGCAGGTCTGTAAAAGGGTTAAGGATTTACAAAAATGTGTGTGCAAAAGTTCCAAGCGGGTTTAAAAAAAAAACTGCTGACACAATACAGAGTTAAAAAAAAAAGGGGGGTATTCGGCTTTGCTTGATTTTGTTAATGCCAAACTGGTTAACATGTATAAGAGAAGTGGTTTATTTTTTTAGTGTTGACCTCAGATAGATAAATACGAACTGTCTATCTGATCGTCATGAAACGAGAATTTTTTAATTTTTTTTTTAAATCGGATTCGCCCTAAGCAAGTTTGAAGATTTAGAAAACAGAAACATTACTAAGGAGCGAGAACAAAGAAGAATCATCAGGAGGAAAGAAGATAACGATTTGAAAATGCATTTAAATTTTTAACATCAAATGTGGCTGGAAAGCATGGAGCCGTAAGAGAGTTCCACAAGAAAAAAGCACGAGAGAAGAAACTGTTAGCATAGAACTTGCGGTCACATCTCGCCAACTCAACTGTAAATTGGTGATACCCCGTCGCCAGTCTAGGACTGCGCTTAAATTCATAAACTCTAGGTACCATAGCAAAGAGCTCATCCGAATTGGCAGTGATTTTGTTAATGCCAAACTGCTTGACTCGTAGAAGAAAACTGCTTTTTATTTAATGTTGACTTAATAAATTGCACATTCATTCTCTTTCGATGTTTGATTTCAAGATGGCGCTTCTATTTTATAGCGCTTCCATTGCAATTCTAACATCTTTTTTTTATGTGTGAGGAGTTCAACTAAGGGCCCAGATATAAAAAAAATTACCCATTTATGTGACATTTGAACGTTATAAAATCTCATTCTGTTTCATTAAAAGACATGAATTCTATTTGAATTTCCTTTATATAGTGTCCTACCTGTGCTGCTGCAGATTCTAATCTGAGATTAGACTGATTTATTAATTTCTTGTTTTACGGTTTATCAACCTTTTTAGGTTATTTAAAGCCGAAACATATTTTTGGATTGTAAGAATAATATTTTTTTTTTTTTTTGCGAATGAATTTGTATTAACATTTTTTTGGAGATGATAATGAGTTTCAGATACAATTCCTACTATTTAACCCATAGCTGTGGGGAAGTAGAGGTATATTCATACCTTTTCAAAAACAAAAAAAAAATACATGACTTTGACAATCAAACATCTCTGAAAAAATTATATTACCTTTAACGAATTATCGAATGGATATTAAAAAAAAAACTTTCCATTATTTTTTTTTTTTTTGTGTGTGTGTGTGTGTGTGTGTGTGTGTGTGTGTGTGTGTGTTTCCAAATTTGCTTGAAGGTTAAAATGTCACATAACAGACAGCTTCGTTTTGACTTTGATAAACAATTGTCCCTTCAATCCTCCTGAATCACTCAAAGAGTTGGACAGACTTTTTCCATGCAGGTTTTTATCATTGTCGGCCCTGTGCAAAGTTGACAATAACAAAACAAGTTTTACATGAAAGTGTAAATAACAATCCTACATACACATCTTATTTGTACATTTATTTGCTTATTATGCACATTTGGGGAAAAGCTGTTTAAATATTTGAAACATTAGTTTTATATTTAATTCATTTGTTACGATTAATAAGATTTGTTCGATTGAGAAATTTTTTCATAATCAGAATTCAGTTTGCTCGTCGATGTGCGTATTTTTTTATTTTTTTAATAAAAATAAAATAAATATTAATTGTATTTGGTCTTTGTTCTTTTTTTGTTTTCCTGCTTGGAACAGATTTACTATTTTATGCAACATGTACACTTCAAAATACTATTTTTCTTTTAATGGACTTCAAAATAAAAAATAATGTTTGTTGTGCTCTTGCGGGCCACATAAAATCTTACGGCGGACCGCAGTTTGCCCACCCACCTCTTATGTCGTTCCTTTTTTTTTTCTTCTTTCTATTATGCAATTTGCCCAGGCCCGTCTTAAATAGTCATTTCGTAGTGGCACGTGTTTTTCTATTTTATAAACTGCAGTTGACAGATTATATCAGTTGTTTTGTGGATAAACCACTGGTGGTCAGTCACCCCTCCACTTGCCATTCATCAAACCTGGGGATGATTTTCTGTCAGATGTGGATTCTAGGTCACGATTTCAACAATCCTTTAAACTCGGCTGATTAATTAGTAATTAATCTCAGAATCAAAGGCGGCATTCCTCCTTTTGTAATTGTTCTGGGTGACACTAGGTTGATCATGGAAAATCGGTTATACAAAGATTGCATTTCCCAATCTTTCAAGACGGAAGTACATTCCTGTCTTGTAAAAGCATCAGTCGAAATCCTGACTTTCCCACCAACAAGTAGCGTCGATAAGAAATACAGAACTGGCTGAGTTCGATAGTAAAGATTCTCATATTCCCAAGCGGGATTTTGGCATTTAGGCGACATTTCCTAAGCGATTTATGCTATTATTTAGTAGGAAAGAAGGCAGTCCCAGGCTTTTAGAAATGGTCGAACTTTGCTCTAACTCCAAGCATTTAACAATTTTATAGTAAATATACCAGCAATATATTTTCACGGTAAAAAAAAATACTAGCAATACATGAAATTACTAATGCTCACCAAAAATGATAGTAAAGACAGGTAGAGATCAAGTGCCGAATCAACAAAGCCTGACATGCTTTCAACACACTGTGGCCAATCTGGAGATCAACAGCCCTCCTCACTTTACAAAAAAGACCCGGATCTTCAACACCAACGTCAAGTCGGTCCTACTTTAAGGCTCAGAAATCTGGCGGGTAATCAAGACCAACACCCACAAACTTCAGACATTTACCAACCGATGTCTGAGGAACATCCTCGATATCAGGTGGCCGGAACGACCAACTGCGGGACAGGACCAGACAAGCCCCAATCGAGATTGACATCAAGTAGCGGGGATGGGGATGGATCAGCCACACACTTTGCAAACCTGATTCTAGTGTCAACCAGACAGGCCCTTGACTGGAACATACCAGGGAATCGAAAAGTGAGTCAACAAAAACAGACATGGCGCAGAAGTGTTGACTTTTTTTTACTTTCTGTATGAATGTAAAAAAAAAAAAAAAAGGAAATGAAATTACTAATGCTTTCCCCCAAATTAAATTTCGATATTGAATGACCCATGCGCTAAACAAACAAAAAGAGGTTTTACGCTTTTGTCTTGAGATGTCACATTCTGCTGATTTCTGTCTCGATAGCCTTGTATTTACGCAGTTTTTCAAATGTTTTCAAAGATATTTTTTTTTTGTCGGCTGAAATTGCAACATCTATCAGCAGACATGTATTTTCAACATGATTTTTCAAGATTATGTCTGGTCGATTCACCTCGATTTTCCTGAATTTTCCTGTCTATTCGAACGATTATTATTATTATATTTTGTCACACCATGTAAGTTTTTGAATACACCGGGTAAATTAATTCCTATGTCAATTCTCAAGGAGTTCAGACAAGCAACACTTTCCTCAAAATAAGCGCAGTGGCCAAAAGAGTCGATTTTTTTTTTGGATGACTCCAAGTTGGTAACGTATTCCCAGATGGTCAAGGGAGTACCAGAGTTTTAATGAGATTGATCCCAATGTTCCTATCACCACTGGAATCATCTTGATATTTGCCT